AGTCCAAACATCAGTTGGTCCTGTAAGTCCTTGTGTAGGCAATGAAATGTCCTCTGTTCAAAGATATGATAGGATTCTTGGCCCATGGTGAAGTCGAAACCAGACGGCTGCCGCCGGTTTTGGTAGGGTGTGATGTATATTCTGTCAATTTAAAGCTGCCACCCCTTGTTTCCATCGTAAGAGGATATCGAGTAATTAGGTCATTATCTTTGTTTTTCTTTTCGAATTTTATTCGCTGTTGTTGTTTACAGAGCACAGCGGCTGATGTTCCATCATCCTCGAAGTCCTTGTTTGGAACCTCAGCATCCGCTTCGCGAATAGCAAAGACAGAATCGTCGACAACTCCTGAAGACAGGGAATCCCCTGACATCCCTTCATCATCGAAAGAGACGATTGTTCGATCACCTGAAGATGAACAAATCAGGCTAAGGAGACTGAAGAGGTAAAAGAGCTTTACTGTTTCGTCAGCCGAATGCTAGTTCCCTTCGTCCTCTCAATGGAACTTTGTTCAGGTTCGCAGATGCTGGGAGTAGTTCTGAAGATCGCTAGTCTTGTATAGAAGAGTTCTTTTATTGTGATTACTCTTGGTTTTAATCATGTTCTTTTCGCTTGCGATTATGTGTCAGTGCGGGATATATTTGGAAACGAATTAATTAAATCATTTAACTTTACATTATTGTTGATTAATTGTGTGTATGTGACTGAGGTAGTTCTTAACTGAAGAATCGTAGAGAAATGAATGAGATGCAGTCTGGTTCGCTGCGGATGCTGGGGCGGACCAGGGGGCTGAGTTTGGCGCGGCGGCAGCCCGTTTTCCTGCAACTGTTGTCGCTTACCCACTCTAACAAGTGGTGGGGAACGGGGTGGCGGCGCGCCAAACCCAGCCCCCTGACAAGCCCCGAAATCTGCAAAGAACAAGTCTGTACATGTCATGTTCGATTTTGGACTGCGGAATCCTCGTGGCCTTTCCTATACACCACTGTCGCCAAGTATGAACGCAGTCCGATAGCACAGTTTATGGATAATTCGGGGTTAATGCTTCCGTGTCTCAACCGCTGCGCAGAACAGTTCTAAAATGATTAGACCACACAGTGCTTGGTCGTATTGAGGGTGTAAGCAGTCGTCTTTAAAACTGTAGTCTCAGCAAACGGGGACGAAGACCTCTGCAGTCGCTTGCGTCTTCGGCATAGACTGAGGCAATCTATTATTGATAACGACGCGGTGGAAAAGTGCGTAGTTCAGGCGACAGAAACCCGCTAATGTTAGACAGGGATTGCTGAAAAAACTAGAATCACCTATTGTTACGGTGATGGGGAAACGGTGGTGATTCGTCCATCTAGAAGATGTTCAGACTTTGACGTGATTCTTCGATGTGTTTTCGAAGGTTGCTCTACGTTGAATCCTCCCTAACTTGGACTAACCTTTCCCAGTTGTCCCACCACAACACTGGGGAAAGTCTCCAATTTAGTGCAACCCCTGAACATATCGAAGAATTACGGCAACGTCTGAACATCGTTCAGATGGGCGATCCGCCACCGCTTACCCCTCACCCTGCAATAGGTAATCATAATCTTTTGGCGCTCTACTGCTGTATGGAAGTTTCGTATCGGCAGTGAACGGTCTCTTTCACGCCTTGCGATCAAAATAGATGCTCTGTTACTTAGTAGAAATAAACACTGAGCGCTCTTCGTGCTCTAAGCTAAACCAGATAGCTGATGGTAATTTGGTAGCCAGTATTTTTTGGTTGCTGGACGGAGGTCGTGTATGCCTCTGACCGCGAGAAAGATGTTCTCGATTGCTGACTTTTCTCGGATTTGTTCTACAGTTGATTGTCTTTGTCTGTGTTCAAGTAAGTACACTCCTTCCCCCAATTCGGAAGATGATAGGCTGTATTTTGAAACCTTGTAAGAGGAGAGAAGGTGGGCAGAGGGGGACGTGGCTCCCACAGCAGGAAATAGCGAGAGTAGGCTTTGCAAATTTTCCAAACGACAGGGCGTGCTCTGAAAGGAACTCGTTGGGACATTTTCAGAACCTCATTCACCTGCTGTTTCAAAAAGGACAACAGTCCTTTGCTAGTACCCCGATCATCTACCAAGTGCAGTCATCAACCTTATTGATTGCTACGTGTCAGTCAAAAGTGCGGGAGCGGAGAACGTTCAAATTTCCCACCTTATTGATCGCTTCCATGCCATCGAACTTAAATGTCGTTAACTGTAAAGAGTTACAATATAAAAGCTGTCGTCTACAACTCCCCCCCCCTTTTAGTAAAGCAAACTAAGACGCTAGTCCAATATGCTCAGTTATTCCACACTCTCCTGCAAAGTCTGGAAATCTAGTGTTAGCCACTAGGACCACTCTGGCGCGATATAAAAAATTCCTTCGGTTTTCCTCCCATTCATTACCATGTTTAATCCCGGAAGATGCCAACGGAACGATTGTGAGCCATAGCAAGGGTTCTGCTCAAGACTTGAGGAGGAAGCGCTTCAGGGTCGAGGTACAGGTAGTTTGTGTCACTTCCAGGACTTTGCAGAATGTCCCGGTACATTGGACTAAGCTAGCCACAGCCTGGAGCACCCTACCAGCACCTGCCTGAACTAGCGTCCAGGCTAGTGATCCTGTGCCGCTTCAGGGTCTCTGTCTTTGACTGGAAGGATACACATTATCAAAGCTTAGGCTCATTGCCTCAGGGGGCGCCATGAAACTTCTTCCTGAAGTAATTTCGAAAGCTCAAA